CAAGTAGGGATGTAAGAAAATATCGATATGGCAATATATCGTGATATTCAATATTATATCGATATTCAAAAACGTGTAACAGAAATATCGATATGGCAATATATCGTGATATTCAATATTATATCGATATTCAAAAACGTGTATCAGAAATATCGATATGGCAATATATCGTGATATTCTTTCCAGCAATATTATATCGATATTCAAAAACGTGTAACAGAAATATCGATATGGCAATATATCGTGATATTTTTTCCTGCGATTATTACATCGATATTCAAAAGCCGTGTATCTAATTCCTGAAAGAATTTACATGCAAACATTTGTGTATTTTCTTTTCGTTTTGTGCAATGCAATCGCCACCCGCTAGTTGGCAGCAGTGTGCAACAGGTTTTGTTTCCACCATTGAAATGTAAATCCCTCCATCATGGTTCAGATACCTCATGTTAAACATGTTACGTATCAGTTTGGACTGTTTATTGAACATTTTTACAATAAATTCAGTAAAAAAATGCTTGTAACATTTGACTGAATGTATCGCAATATATCGTGTTATATCGTATCGTCTCCCCTGTATCGTGATATGTATCGTATCGCCAGAATTTCAAAAATACACATCCCTGCTTACTAGCGAAGGATTTAGTTGATTTTCTTCATTTTCCCAACCTTTAACATTTTTTTAGGCACTGCGTGTTTTGCAGTTACAACAGATTATGTAAAAATCTGGAGCATGATTGGAGCAACAATGCAAAACATCTCAGCTGATCCAGTCTGAGGAGCCCAGCATTAAGTCAGCACGATAACATCTTGTATATCTGGAGGAGTGCAGTGTTGTTTTACAATCGGAGGCTCCAGCTGAGAAGATTCACAACCCTTCACCCATAACTGATCCCTGTCACATTCTACACACCAGACACAGGTTGTGGTTTGGAGCTGCTGTTTGAAGTCAGTCAGTCAGGCTAAAGAAAAGCTGGGCATTCCTCCTGCAAGCCCAGGCAACTTGAACATGTGGGTGTGGAGACTTCCCCAGAAATGCCAAACCTGCTGTCAGAACAGATCTGTCCCACCCGTCTCTGCAGGGAGAGCAGACTGTTGAGCAAGGACGTAATTTTCACTTAAGAAGTGTGTGTGTGTGTGTGTGTGGGGGGGGGGGGGGGGGGGGGGGGGGGCTATGGGTATCTTTACAGTATGTTCTAATGGGAAACGGGCTTCAACACAAACTGTTGTTTTCCGCTTGGTCCTAGAGCTCAACCAGTGTCAATTTAATATAGCGTAATATTGTTTTTGGATGGTAAAAAGTGCAGGGGTCAAAACTTGACTTTGGAAAAAGTGGGGGGGGGGGGGGGGGACATGTCCCCCCTGTCCCCCCTCAAAATTACGTCCATGCTGTTGAGCTGCTTCCAACACAACAGCCAGCCTCCACTGGCCAAGAGTGTGTGTGTGTGTGTGTGTGTGTGTGTGTGTGTGTGTGTGTGTGTGTGTGTGTGTGTGTGGACGGGCGGGGCTTATATTGCTGCTTATCTCCGCCTTTTGGACTTCACAATAAGTGCCCTTAGAAGGAAAGCCTGCCAGAGAGCCGGAGAGCGTTTTTGCGCGGACTGTCCTTAAATCCTGAGTTAAAGGAAACACGAGGAAGCTGTCTCCGTGCAGGACGATCCTTCCTTTTAGGGCTCAGCAGCCGTCAGGTAGGTGCCATTTAAACTCTCTGATTTAAACCGTTCTCCTACTTTCTCCCGCTCTTGCTCGTGTAAACAACGATCTTTATCCAGTCCGTCAACCCATAATCTAATCCCGTCCGTTTTGAAGGCTTGCCTCCGGAACGCTCGCTGTCTGCGAGGGGGCGTCCTCTGCAGCTCAGGAGAGCCCGCGGAGGTGTCGCTGACGGCGGGGAGGCGAGCAGCGCGCGCCGCGCCGCTCCACTCCGGACCGGACATGGAGATGCTGCGCCGCTCCTCCGTGTTTGCGTCTGAGGTGTTTGACCGCTCGCACGCCGACAAAGAGCTGGTGTCCCAAGCCAAAGCCTTGTGCAGGGACTACATCCACAACAAGCTGAACAGTGCCGGGTGCGGCTGGTCCAAACCCGAGCACGGACTGGTGGCAGCAGGTGGGACTCTGGGAGAGATATCGTTCGTCCTCCTGTGGCTGGGTGAGTACGGAGCACCGATTGTAAAATAGCATAACATTTTTATTATTAAATATTTGAATCGTATAATTTTCTAAACGTTGAACTCTAAATATAAATGTGCCAGTTTTAAACACGTTGACATGAAAATTCAGATGGAAGTAGTCTGTGGAAACGTGCTGATCCCATGTTTCCAGGGTCTAAGTCATCCAGTTAGGCTAAATGTTTGCATGCTGCAAAAATAAGATTTTCCGTCATTACAAAGGTAAAAATTATATTATTGTGGTCTTTTAAATTGCACTGCTCAAATCTTTAGAAAGTTAAAAAGTGCCGATCTACTTCAGGTGTGTCCAAACATTTCAAGACAGACAAAATTCATCAAGTTGTGATTTTATTAAACAGAAAAAAACCACAAAATGAATTCTGTTGAAATGCTCCAAAAATAAATATTTGTAAAGATGTAAACATAAACGGAACAGGCTGCAGGAAAACTGGAAATTTGAGTTTGTCACCTTGAATTAATTTAAAACCAGACATGAGCCCTTGAGGCGGATTCCCTGTGTTGTAACTGCCTTCTGTAATTTTGTACATAGCATGTCTGTGCAGGGGCGGATTTAGGACTGAAGAAGATCCGGGGCTCAACACACACACGCGCACACCACACACACATGACACTAGTCTATATATATATATATATATATATATATATATATATATATATATATATATATATATATATATATATATATATATACAGGTGCTGGCCAGTAAATTAGAATATCATCAAAAGGTTGAAAATATTTCAGTAATTCCATTCAAAACGTGAAACTTGTACATTATATTCATGCAATGCACACAGACCAATGTATTTCCAATGTTCATTACATTTAAATTTGATATTCATAAGTGACAACTAATGAAAACTCCAAATTTGGTATCTCAAAAAATTAGAATATTCTGAAAAGGCTGATATAGAAGACACCTGCTGCCACTCTAATCAGCTGATTTACTCAAAACACCTGCAAAGGCCTTTAAAAGGTCCCTCAGTCTTGTTTTGAAGGCACCGCAATCATGGGGAAGACTTCTGACTTAACAGCTGTCCAAAAGACAATCATTGACACCTTGCACAAGGAGGGCAAGACACAAAAGGTGATTGCTAAAGAAGCTGGCTGTTCGCAGAGCTCTGTGTCCAAGCACATTAACAGACAGGCGAAGGGACGGAAAAAATGTGGTAGAAAAAAGTGTACAAGCTCTAGGATAACCGCACCCTGCAGAGAATTGTGACGACAAACCCATTCAAAAATGTGGGGGAGATCCACAAAGAGTGGACTGCAGCTGGAGTCAGCGCTTCAAGAACCACCACGAGGAGACTCATGAAAGACATGGGATTCAGGT